CATCAGGATGGTCCTCTGGATGGGCTTCAGGTAAAGGTCCTCCTTCTTCCCAGGGGTGTAGTTAGGGCCCATAATCCGGACTTTCAGGCCAGTGGACACCAGTCCTGAGAAGACGCGTCCAAAGGCATAGAACTGACCTTTATTGGAGGTTGGCACCATTTTGGAAATGTACATCATTAGTGGGCCTTTAGGATCACAGCTTTTAATGCCCATGGCGGCCTCATCATCTGGGGGCCCCTCATATAGCAGCTCGCAGCGGTACTTCTGTGCTGTAACGGGCGACGGCAAGTGGATGGTGATCATCTGCAGCAGCGCGTCCCCAGCTGGCAGCCAGCGGCGCATCACAGCCTTGAGCAGCGGCTTTCCCTCTTTGTCTTTGTCCTCACTGTCCAGCTTAATGTCCAGCTTCTCAATCAACTTTGCTGTCTCCTCTTTCTTGAAGTTCATGATTGCATCAAACACCTTGAAGATGGGGTCCAGGATGAGCTGGCAGAAAGTACGGGGCAGCTTCTTTCCATCAGGGCTGGTGGCTGACTTGCTAAACTTGCCGTTGGCTGGATCGAAGTACCGGTCACCCCACAGCTTCTTCATCATGTCTTCCACCTTCTTGGCCTGCTCAGCAGGCCCCAACTGGCCCTCCCCCTTGGCAGCGAACTTGGCCACGTACATCTCTGCAAACTGCTTTAGGGTGAAGGCCCAGCCATGCAGGCCAGACCCCAAGCCCACAGTACCAAGGACAGGGTCAATCATGATGTTGCCCATGGGACCGCTCTCGCCCTCGCCGTAGGTGGAGATGATGACGTTGACGTTCTCCACTATGCGCTGGAAGGTCTGGTACAGCTCCTCGGGTTCCAACTGCAACTCCAGCAGGGCCCAGTCCATCTTGTTCATCATGAGCACGGGCTTGATGCGCTCGGCGATAGCCTGCCGCAGCACTGTCTCTGTCTGCACGCACACACCTGACACACAGTCCACCACCACCAAGGCGCCATCAGTGACACGCAGGGCAGCCGTCACTTCTGAGGAGAAGTCCTCATGCCCAGGAGAGTCAATGAGGTTGATAAGGAAGCCAGAGCCATTCTTGCTCTGCTTGATAAAGTTCAAGTCATTCTCAGAAAGCTCATAGAAGAGGGAGATAGCGGTTGACTTGATGGTGATACAGCGCTCCTGCTCATCCTTCCGGGTGTCAGTGAAGCGGGTCTCACCAGCACGAGCGGATGCGATGATGCCGGCTTTGCACACCAAGGAGTCCGTCAGCGTGGACTTGCCGTGGTCCACGTGGGCGATGACAGACATGTTGCGGATGTTGGCCTTCTTGTCCATGATGGCCCGGATCTGGTCTACAGTGAAGTTCACCATGGTGGTGGATGTCGCTGGATTCTCCCAGACAGATCCGACTGCATTGAGCCGCGCCGGGGATGGCGGCGAGGATGGCAGAAGAGCTATAATTTCTTAATAAGAATGAAGTTAAGAGGGCCAAGTACACCTCAGTCACATAAGTGCCTGCTTGACAAGCACAAGGTCCTGAGTTCGATCCCCAGTATCAAAAAAAGAGAATGATTTTTACAATAAAAAATGTTAACAGATAGAAAAACAAATTTTTGTTTCATAATATTGTATTTCTGAAGTCATTTGAAAAATCTTTCAAAGTAAGTTAATTTATTTTTACTAGGCTGTAGCCTCACAACTTAAAATTCCTTTTTAAAAAAATTATCTTCAACCAAGTTTCTATATAGGATCAGATTTTTGTACTTAACTGTCTCTTTCTAATTTAGATGAAAGTCATTCTTTTTTAAAATGTTAACATATTCTACATTACTTGTGACATGCTTTGACTATGTGGAAAGATAATCCTCAAATCTATTTTGTATTTGGAGATATAGGGTCATGGCTAATAATATGGGTTGTATGAGAGGATGAGTTTGGAGCACCCTACAAACTAAGATTCCTCAGCATGGGGGAGGCTGAGACAGGAGGATCACTATGAGTTTGAGCTGCATAGTGAGACCCTGTACCAAATACACGAATAAAAAAAATAAATAAATAAAGTCTAAGATGCCAAACTAGGAATGTGACATCTAAGCAGGTTTGTAACAAGGACGAGAGCCTAGATGTAACTTGTGGTGTGCTACCATGCGATGCTTTGTGTTACATTATGAAGCACCAAGGTTTTTACTAGATAGCTGGAAGATACCAGGACTATGATTTTTCTTTTGCCGAACAGTAATACCATGAGCTTGATAATCATCTACTCTTCATACATAATCCTGTATAGGGTATTTTGTTACAGCAACAGAAAGCAAAATGTATTATTCTGTATATTTTCTGTACATGAAGTCATTTTATTTTCTGCAGATATTTTGTATACATAGATGTTGGTTTTCTCTCTTACTATTTCTACTTAGCCACCTATTCATCTTCATCTTGGCCAATGACTGACTATAAACATAGCCTTTTCTAGAGTTAAGCACAGTTTTCAAGAACTGTAGTAATAAGACAAATTTGTCTTAGAGATAAACTACTGGAAATAAAACAGTTACAATCAGTGAAGCTTGCAATTAGTTTTATGCTATAAAATATGATTTAAAATTAAGAAATAATTAATAAATTTACCTAGTTTGTTTTTTAATTTTGAAACAATTCCTTAAAGTATAAAGCATCAATTACATAAACAAAATGAAGAGGCACCACTGCAATTTTATTTAAAAATTACTTATTTACTTGGTGCAGGGTCTCACTATGCAGCTCAGACTTGTAGTCATTCTCCTTTCTCAACTTTCCCAGCTCTTTTGGATTACAGTTGTGCACCAACACTCCTAGCTTCAGTGGCCAGCATGGTGTGCTGAGGGTTCTTGAATCTGCACAGCATGCAATACCAGGGATTGAACCTGGGTCCTTGTGCTTGCCTGGCAGGCACTTAGACTGTTGAGCTATCTCTCCAGACCCCTACTTTCTGATATTACGAGGAAAATACAACTGGAGAGTAGCAATTAAAATTAAACTGTTTCTTGTGGTAGGTATAAAGTTCAGTAATACAACAGTTGTCTAATCTGTGTGAACTATTACAAAACACAATAAAGTTCAATGAAACATTTTTTCAGTATGATTTCCAGTTCTTCCTGGATATAGTTATGGTTCTATGTACTTTAATCAATATGATGGGGGCTGGAGAGATGGCTCAGTGGTCTGAAGCACCTACTTAGAACGAGCTTGGCAGGGCATCAGGGACCGCGGTTCAATCCCCCAGCACCACATGCCAGCCAGCCCCGCCCCCTGGTGGGCTGAGCTGGCCACACACACACACACACACACCTCTCTCTCTCTCTCTCTCTCTCTCTCTCTCTCTCTCTCTCTCTCAAATAAAAAAAATTAAAAAAAAATCAATATGATGCTGAATGTAGTATTTTCAATTTTACAATAGAACATATAATCACCTGAAAAAAATGTTTTGCTATTTATATTTATATCCAATTATTTACCTTTTCAAAAATTGGATTTATTTGGGCTAGGGTGGCAGCTCAGCAGACTAAGTATTTTCCTGACAAGCACAAAGTCCTGAGTTTGATCACTAGTATGACATGCAATGACAGTCCCAGACCCAGAGGACGCCGTGCTGACCCAATCCAGATGTGGTGGTGCACACCTGCAATCCCAGCACTGGGGAGGCTGAGAAGGAGGATTGCTACAAGTCTGAGCTGTGTAGCAAGACTTTGTGTCAAATAAGTAAATATCAAATAAGTAAATAAATAACAATAATAAGTTTTTTTTAATTAGATTTATTTTGCTTTGGCTGTAAAAGAAGTAGCCTGAGTTTAGTCTGCCCCAATATAAATATATATTGAAGAGCATGAATACATAATTATACACTGATGCCACATTTTCATCAAATATACTTCAAAATAGGTCTGTAGATATATTAATTTTGTGTACAGTGTCCTATGCAGCAATATCGTTCTCTTTGTCCTTGAGGGGGAAAATAATTGAGCAATTCTAGAAGAGTACAAATCTATTAAAATGTAGGGTTTGAAGCCAAAATCAAGAGACTAATTTGGCATGCATATTCGTGAACTTAATGGATGAAAATAAAATATATTATAATATAACCAAAGAGTGATATTTTGTGCACAATATTTTGTTTACTGATGCGATGTAGCTATGCACAACGGTCCCGTTCATCACAGGGAGCTTGGTCCTGTGTGTGGCACATCTTGCTTCCTCGTGGTTTCCTGCTCACTTCTCCTCTCTTTCTCCCCTCTTCACCTCCTTATTTACAAAGCTTTGTTTCCATGTTATTCTATTTTTTCCCTCAATTTTTTTCCCTCCCCCAACATTCTTTTTTCTTTCGGAGCAATTTCTTTCTATTGTACAATATCTGTTTTACATTCTGGTTCTTATTTAGTCTTTAGTTTCTCGAACCAGAGAGACAACACCACAGTTACACATGCATAATTTTATGAGTTATAGTTTAGCTATGAATACTGATTCAGTGGGAGCACATTATTTTTGCTGCCTTAAAAGTGTCTGGAATGATTACACCATTCATTGTACATATTATACAACAAAAAATTACATTGACTTCTGTAAATTATATAACTATATAT